AAATAGAATTACCATATGATCCAGCAAGTCCAGTTCTGGGTATACACTCAAAAGAATTGAAGGAAGGTCCTTAATCGGATATTTGTACTCCTATGTTCATAGCAGCATTATTCACAATAACCAAAATGTAGAAGCAACCCAAGTGTCCATGTATGGATTAATGGATAAACAAAATGTGGTATACACATACACTAGAATATTATTCAGCTTTAAAAAGGAAGGAAATTCTGACGCATGCTACAACATGGATAATCTTGAGGACATTATGCCAAGTGAAATAAGCCAGGAAGAAAAAGGACAACCATTTTATAATTCCACTTATATGAGATTCCTAGAGTAGTCAAATTCATAGAGACAGAAAATGGAGTGGTGGTTGCCAGTGGGTGGGGAAAGAGGAATATAGAGTTGTTGATTAATGGGTATAGATTGTTAGTTTCACAAGATGAAAAGGATTCTGGAGAAGGATAGTGGTGATGGTTGCACAACAATATCAATGTACTTAATGCCACTGACTGTATTCTTGAAAATGGTTAAGATAGTAAATTTTATATTATATGTATTTTACCATCATAAAAAATAAATGTAACTGTGGGATTGTTTAATTCTCCAGGTCAATATTAGGACAGGTACTCCCCAGAGAAACTACCTATGCTAATGTTGTTAAAAAAAACAAACAAAAACCCCTGTTTTCTAGTTCATTATCATTAGAATTTTTGCAAGTCTACTCTCTTCATTAACAATAGTTACCATTTACTGAGTACTCTTTTTATATCAGATCTACTGCTTGGTACTTTATATATTTCATATAATATAACATACTGTGGGTTAGATAGTATCATCCTGCTTTGCAAAAAGGGAAAAAGGCTTAGGAGTGGTAAATGGCTTTCTCAAAGGCACGTGGTCAGTGACTATTGAAGGCGGGCTGTGGACCCTGGTTTATCTGACTCCGGCTGCATTTCCTGAGCCACTTTGTTCTCTTGTGGGTTCCAGGTCCCAGCTTGCCTCTCCAGTATCATGCCTTCTAATACTCCAAGGGTTTGGGCAAGGGGCTACTCCCATAGTCATCTGTCTTAGGATCCCCTGCCCTTCCTGGTCACTAGCATGGCACTGCCCCAAAGGCCAGTTGCTTGAGAGCAATGCATTGATGCCATTTTATCCAAGACAGAGGAGGGGCTCTTCTAGGTCCGCTTGATCCTGCTGCTCAGAGATAGGGAGGCATTTCCCTGGCCTCTTCAGCTCATATATGACCATGGGTTAAAGCAGTTGTTAAGGACAGTCATTCAGTCATTCACTCACTTAAATGTTGAGCTACTACCCTGTGTCAGGTACTGTTCTATGCACTGAAGATTCAGAGGTGACTAAGGAAGAATGGTTCCTGACCTCCTGGAGCTTACACTCTGGTGGGATCAACAGAAATAGTCATATAAGCAAAGACACAATTAAGATAATTTGAGATGGTGGTAAGCGCTAAGAAGAAAAGTACACATTAAAGAGCAAGTTAGGACAGGGGTGCTGCTGTAGCTGCAGTGATAAGGGAAGAGGGGATCTGAAAAAAGAAATGAATAGTGAGACAGAGCCAGCCATAGCACTACTGGAAGGAAGAACATTCCAGGCTGAGGGAACAGCACATGCAAAGACCCTGAGGTTGAAATGAGCTTGGCATGTTCAAGTTAGAGGACAGAAGCTATTTGGCTGGAGAAGAGTGAATGAGGATAACCAGTAAGGGCTGAGGTTGAGGGGGCAGGTGAAGCTTGGTTAATGATGAATATTTTACTCATGACAAGGAAGTTGGGTTTTATTCAAAGTGCTCCAGAAGGTCACTGGAAGTTTCTAAGCCAAGGAAGGACTGTCTCTGATTTATGTCGAGAGTGGAACAGAGCTGCCAGCTAGGAGGCTGTTGCCAGGCTCCAGGGGTGGGATGATGGTGGCTGGGACAGACTGCCTTGGGAGCAGGACTCTCTTTCCTTGGGGTGACCGTCTCCTTCTGAGCCAGTAATTCTGTAGCTTTTTTCTCCTTCCTGTACCCCTGGATGCTGGACAGGATGGAGCAAACCCTCTGCCTGAAGTCTGCAGGCCTGTCTCCTTCTCACTGGGCCTCATAGTGGTCCAAATGGGCCAAGCTCTGGGCAAGATGCCCCATATCAAGCTTCTTCATGCCCCCCTTGTGGAGCCCCATGGCTGTGAAGTCCAGGAGACCCTGCTACCAGAGTGTCCCTCTTGGTCCCGAAACAGATTAGGGTTTGCATGCCCACTAAACTCTTTAAGTGCCCCATTTTATTACATGTGTTCAGCTCCAGCATGAGCATGCTGGTAGAAAACAACAACAGCAACAAGCACCACAGAACAACTTTCAATGGCTTATTAAAAAGAAAATAAAAAGATTTCCAAAGATTTCTGGACGACAGATCGCTCTTCTTAAACACAGCTTGATGAGTTAAGTGCAAATGAATCAGAAACATGTGCATTGGCTTTCTCTTTGCAGGCACTTGGGTTTAAAAATGAAATAGGGGTTAGGGAAATGAGGGACAGCATGGCTGGCTGGGTTTTGCAAAGACCTGAATGAGAACTTCACATAATGGAGGGCCCCAAACATGGTGTGCAATTTTCCCCTACTCTAATTTCTTTCATTCCCATATAGTGAGAGCTGCTCGATATATGTGGCAATCTGCTGCATTTTTCTTGCAGACACTATGTTCCTGGCATTCCGCGTTTCCTTGCCAAAGGCCTTGTTATGCTGTGGGTTAAAACTATGCTTCACCAAAACCATTTTGACTTAAACATCCCAAGAAGTTCACAGACATTTTTTCTCACGGAATCCAGGCTTTTGAAGGCAAGAGCTGTCTCTGTGTTTTAGGCTGCGCAGCAAGCAGTCTTATGTAGTTGAGAAAGGACACTGTCATGGCACCATTCACAAACTTACATGAGCTCCATGACCTTGGGCAAGTCAGTACTTACAATATCTCAATCTCAGCTTTTTCATCTGCAAAACAGGGGACAACTCATTTCTTATCTGCTTCCAAGAAGTTGTTTGGGAGGGCTGTATAAATTGCAGAACACATATAAATAAAATGAGTAATTACAATGAATGTACCAGAAAGGTTATGAATGGCTTTACAATGGTAATGAATGGAAGTTATGAATGGCTTTCAGCTTATCTGGAAGCGAAACGTGGTAGAGAGAACAGTGAAATTAATTTGTGTTCTCCTCTTATCTTTGATGCTGAGGGAGGGTCAGCTTGGAATCTGAGTTGGAATGAGATGATTAGAGAAGAGTTGAAAGAAAGCATTGCTTCCTGTCCGTATTATATGGCTGTTCTGATTTAGAACCCTAGAATTTTAGGGCTTGGAGAGCATCTTATTAATCCCTTTATTTCATATTTCATAGTTGAGAAATATGAAATATGAGGGTCAGAGGAGGAAATGACTGGTAGGTTGTATGACTACCTACTAAAACTGCCATGATGCCTGCAACTGGGAGAATAAGGTATATTCTTAATGGTGGGAATGTCACAAGAAATGGGGGCCAGTTATTTTTAAAGCATTTTCTGATTATCATGTATTTTTTATTATTTTGGAAAAATCTCCAGGGCTTAGCAAAGATATTTAATAAAATAGTTTGTAGACACTTAATAAAAAATTTGCAATAGATATTTAATAAAAATTTGCAGACTGAGAAAATGAGTGAAGAATGTCAGGTAGGAGTGGGAGGAACAGAAAATAAAGGGAAAACATGATTCCCCTCCTGGAAGAGCTTACAGTCTAGCTGTGGAAACAAGATGCATATGAAAAAACCTTGGGTGCATTGCAAGTGAGAGCAAAGTGATGCCATGCACATAGGTGTAAGGGGAGAGAAATAAGGCTCTCTTTCTAAAGGAAGACAGACTTTTAAAGAAAATGGGATGATTCAAGACACTCCCTGGTATTGATATGGTAGACCTGCAATTGTTCTCGGTCATTAACCCCGCCTTGAGTAAGTGGGCTTATGACTCAAGCCAAGACAGTCACTCCAGGGCAACATTCTGATTTCAGCTCTCGATACAGGATGGGCATGTAACCTTGTAAACAGGGCCCGCCTAGCTCTTCCATGTTATTTGGCCTATGCACAATGGAGAAAAAGAGCCTTTTTTCCATTTGGATTATTAGTCCAAAGCACGTAGACTTGGAATAGTTAGTGGCCTTCTTTTCCAACATGCAGGGAGATACTGGGAGTGATGCCAACAGACAGTCAAAAGTAAATTCAAGAGAAGGAGAAAGGGGCAGATATAATGATGTATTTTAAGTCCCTGGATTCCATCATGCTTTAAGTCCATCTCTGGACATCCGATCACATGAGCCAATAAGTTTTTTTTTCTCTAAAAGAGTTTCTGTCATTTTTATTCAAAAACATTGAATATAATTGGTAAGGAGCTTGATCTGTTAGTATTGGGTGGTGAAGCTGTGTGAGCTGAGGAAGGTGAATAGGGCATCTGTAGAAGACAGTGATGTTGGGGGTTTAGGTCTGAGTGCCGAGTCACGAAGGAGAGTGGGTAGTTACTTCTGGTCTTCCCTGGAAAGCAGGAAAGGCCACCCTCCCGTCTCCTCACTTACCCGGTATGTCCTCAGCTTACTGACCTTAGTGCCTGACAGAGCCGCCACTGCAGGCCACTGTTGGGATGAAGTCAGTTCTCAGTGGAACACCAGGTCCTCTGAGTGCCACATATAAAAGGACTGTGCATGCAAATATGAATACATTTATTTTATTTACTTTGGCATTTTTTAGACTGAAATCTTCTCATACTTTCTTGAGAACCTCAAAGAGGCAACTGGAATGTATAGCGTATAGTATCTCCTAAATGTCTTTGCTCAAAGACCTTTTACTTTTGTTTTACTTTGTTTGGAGATGTTCATGAGAGCATCCCTCGGTAGGCCTTGGGGGAAGGCATTCTTTCCCCAGAAGACACCTGCAAAGTAACATATTACTTGGGGAAAGTACCGCATTATTGTCATCTCTCTTCTTTCCAGAAAGCACTGGAGATATGGAGGTGAGAAGAGTGGGAATGTAAAGTGAAGAGACCAAGAATGAGAAGAGAGGAGGAAAGAAGAGTGTTGGACCAGTTCAGAAACTAGAATGAGGGAAGCGGCGACGACCGAGTGAAAGACTGGGCACAGAACTTGGTCACCAAGGCAGAAAGCAGAAAAGGTCAGGATGAGTCCCTCTCCTAAATTAAGAACACACTCCCCTAACACTCTTGAGTTTTGTAGCTCTTACCTACTAAACACAAGCAAAATGGTTAATTGGGAGAGACAAAGAATTTCTTTGTAGTGCTGGACAGTAAGAAACAAATTGGTCCTTCTGTAAGGGACATTGAATAATATAATGGGTAGTCATCAACAGAAAACTTAGAAAAGATGCAAAAACACTCTTCATATGGCTGTTTCCTCTATTGACACCCAACAAAAACCAAGGATGGTACGAAATCAGAGCTCTTTTGGGGAATGTCTACAGTGAATTAAGGTCACGCAGCCTGACACATCGCTTAGGTGATCTCAACTCATGCAGGGATAGACAGGGCCTGGGGACTCTGGGAGGGACAGCTAGCAAGTTAACCCAGTGGAAATCACCAGGGCGCACAGAATAGTTATCACCTTAGTGAACTGCTACTAGAGAAAGCTGAGAATAGGGCTCTGAGTGCAAGATCTGTGAAGATAGGGCCAGAGCTGGAGCGCTGGGGGAGCATTGGGGGGGATAGTGCTGTTTACTCTGAAATAACCCAAAGTACTTATAGAGGGAAAGGAGAATACTAATAGGTTTCCTGGGTTCCCAACAAGAGAAACCACAGAAGATGGACTATGAGTCATGCACAGGAATTCTGAGGCCACCATTAACAGCCTAATGTAGACTGTCATTTTTCTAAGGTAAGACAGTGGCAGAGGTACGGTTAGAATTCAAACCAGCAGAATCCAAGTTCAGTGCTCTATGCCACCATGCTGAAGAGCTGTGAGCGTGGGAGAGCTGTCTTGCTATCCCGAGAACTTGTTGACTTTGAGGGAGCTGAAAAGCATAAGGAAGATTAGATATGTTTGGGACATTTCCCCACATCAACAGAACAGGAGGGAAAGAGAGTGTATGTAGACTGCAATCTTTTTGAAGTTTGCTTCTGGTGTCTTAATGAGCTCCTGAAAACCAGAGCTGCTGGAAAATACTGAGAATCCTCCAAGTTTGGGAGATCTAAGCGGCAGGGAGGGCTTAGGATGCATGACAGACGCCGGTGCCAGGCAGGGCAGGCATGCAGCCAGCAGGCCTGGCTGTTCAAATTTCAGAAAAAAGGCAATGATATCGATGGAATCCTTCTGCAGAGGAAAAGAGGCTCCAGCATATTGAATAAGTTACACAGCTCGGCTTCTTTCGAGACAACATAAATCCGCTGTGGTCACTTGACCTCATTCTGTGGCTTTCCCATCATGGATTTTACCCACATCTACCAATTCTTTTCCCAGAGGGCCCCAACATCTTGCTGCCACCATGACTGGTGGACAGCTCCTACAGGAACCCGGGTCTCTAGCACCATCCTTCGTGGGACTATTGTACCGTATTACCTGGCTGGAGGGGGGAAAACGTCCCTCCTAAGACTCTTTCTCTCTTCTTTTCCTTGCCCTCTTTGACTTTTACAAAACATAATGTCCCAGTCTCAGAGGTCAGACTTCCATTGTTAGCTGGCCCCTCCAAGGGGTCTTTACGTCTAGAGCTGTTGGAAGACCTTGGGATGAGGGTTAAGGTACAATTGCAGGTATCAGAGGAACTATGACAAATGAGAATGGTGTCAAGAGAGACTGTCCAAATAAACAGTTGGATGCTTGGAAGTACAGCCTGAAGACCTCAGATCTTTCTTTCCCCTCTGTTTTTTTTTCCCTCCCCCAAACAGAAGATTAAGTTTGCTGTGAACATGAGCTGATGAAAAGAATTCAAATAGTGCTTTGAATAGGACCCCAGTCAGACACACAGGAGAGCTACAAATTGCTTTTGGAGACACCAGTCTCCCTTTACAGAAAGTTAGCAGAAAGCCCACATATCTTCTTTCTATAAGGTACTAACTTGTAAATTAACCTTTAATGGTGTATAAATGATGTTCTGAAAGAACTGCTTATGCAGCTATATTTATGATCTAGAAAATTGCAAATATTTACAAGATTATAGGTGTTAATGGTCTGTCAAAAATGTTTGTATATTGTACATACATTAAACCCCGGTTTCAGACCACCCTGGTATAAAAGACCACCACTCTCTAGTCCCATATAGTGTTTCACTTTGATTCCATATATGCCAATCCCTATAATTAGCCTGTTCCCTAATATAGATCAAGTCCACTTTATAGAGAATTCTCCCGATAGTTTTCATTTAGTTTAAATCCAGTACCCAGGCTGCCTATGTAAACTGTTTGCTAAATGGCCCGGAATGGCCAATCGATCTTATGTCAGCAAGGTCCTGTGAACTTGTCCATCTTGTTTCTGAGTTGGCCCCACTGTAGGGCCTAAGTGCCCCTTGTTTGATTGCTTTCCAGAAATAAAATGAAGCATATATGCGAACTCTCCTGACTCACTCCCTCTGCTGATGTTTGGTCATTCCAGCTCAAATGTACAGAAGCCACAGACATAATTCATTTCAAAGAGCTGCTTAATGTTACACCAGCACCTTAACCATGGTGCTTGACAATGGGCAAGGACCTCAGACAAAGGGGAGGGGACATGTCCTTTCTCCTGTCGTTGTCACACCTACCGTGGATCTTTTCTCTGACGTATCTTGCTGTGTTACTATTCCACATAGAGGTATGGCAGGAAGAAAATGAAAAAAGGTCACAGGTTGTTTCGAAATGGTTCTTCCATCCTAGTTTATTATTTCATTTGCACATTCTCATTAATGTCTCACTGTTTCCATGGCAGTCTCAAGATGATCACTCTCCTGGGGCATTTGCCAGAGCTCTGTCTGCCTCATAGGAATTTACAGAGCAAGCTTATTTTCAAATGCTACGAAAGGAGCTGCCCTGCCACCTACTCTGATAAAAACATGCGGGGATATGGTTGCCGGAAGTCTCAATGCGAAAAGAGTAACTTTTGAATTTCTATAGAAATCCCTAAATAGTCAATCCCTCCCACCCCACTCCTCCATCCCACCCTCACAAACAGAGCAGGGAAATAATAAAATCAATTTTCCCTTAAACCCTTTAACAAGCCCTGACAACACACACTTAATTTTCTCGAAAATAAAATAGGTGTTTGGGTGGCTGCGACCGGTTGAAAACATTGAAGTCACCGCAGAGATCTAAATGGAACAGGCGGCTGGCTTCGGGCCCCAGATGAGGAGCAGAATGCCCCCAGGAAAAGGGAGAGGCTGGTGATTGTCCTGAGGGATCAGAAACTCTGTGCTGGGGAGAAAGTGGTGGCCCATTCAATCCTTTCTCTTCTGAGATGATTCTCAGAGCTACCAAGTCTTCTGATCTGCCTAGTATTTGGGAAAGGCCTAGTGTTGTTAAAATGATATTAGGATTCCTGGAGGGCTTGGATCTAGTGAATTCCACTGGAGCTGTCCTGGAAATTTCCCCACCTTGAAATGCCTTTCAGATCCCTTATCCTAATGACTCCCCACCTGGGATCCTGAGCCTTGGGGACCCAAGCAGGGAGAAACGGGCTCCTCTGACATGTTCTCCACATATCAGAAACATTCAGTGGAGTTATCATGCTAACCGGGTTCAAATTGTTATGGATAACTAAAATATATATATATATATTTTTTCTTTTAATTTAAATGCTATCAACTCAATGCATTTATGTTGGTTTTCTTACATTGGCAGTTTTTGATGAATAACAAAATGAGGAAATTATTTCTCAACAACTGCATCTGGTTGTATAGACAATGTGGTTCAGAATGTGGCATCTGGGAGGAGAGGAAAATGACAAGGTCTATGCAGGTGGAAAGCAGGGAGCCACCCCCCCCATTAGGGGTGGAGCTGTGTGCTGGCTGCCAAGCACGAGGTCACCACTTTTTTTATTCAGGTGCCTGAAGAGAAAACTGTAAACACAAGATGCAGATCCTGTTAAGGGACAGATTCCAATGTCTGCTCAATTACCTTTTATGTTTATCTAGGAGAACAAATGGCCGAAGAGCCACTGTACTGTATCTGCATGCTCTCAAAAGAGGAATGAGTTTGCCTTCTCTCTTACTCGGGAAGTGGTCCTCTTTGTGCAGAATAGGCTCATATTAAAATTAGGAAACCACCAGCACCAGGCAGGTGAGACTGCTTGCACCTGGCTGTCCCCTAGTGTTGTTTGAGAGGGGATCGGCTGGAACAGCCGCACAAACAGCGGTGCTTTTACTGTGCCTGTTGTGGCTCGCAGGGGCTGGGAGGGATTCATCAATTGTTTCAAACAGTTTTTTTTTTTAACATTACGGGTTTGGCAAAACCCCAGGCATACTTGACCAAGTGCTTTTTCCCTTCATTTTTAAATCCCATGTGTATTTCAAATGCAATCCGTATGTTACTGATTCATTTACACTTAACTCATCAAAAATACTGGTTGGGATGAATTAGTTGATGCCCAGGGAGAAGTATGGTCCTTTTTTTAAAGGAGATGTTAGAAACCTTTTCCCCATCCCATCCCTCTTTGCCAAATGCAGTTCAAAGTGAATCAGCCTCCCCACCCCGCCCCACCAATTTTTAATAACATTAGAAAAGGCAAATCCAAGGAACCCTAAATTTGGGGAAATTCTTCATTCCACTCTCCCTCATTTAAAAATCTTGTGTATTTTAAGGGAAATCTAATCCATATGCTTCTGATTCATTTACACTTAAATCATTAGAATGTTGTTTTGAACAAGCCACTTGGTGAGCAGAAATGAGTATGAGACTTCTTTTATTATTATTTCTTCAAGCTCTCTTCTGCAAAACAGGAAGTCACATTGGAAAAGCCGAATATCCAAAAGTTTAAATTTGGTATGATAATTCTGAGGCCACCATGGCTTAGACGAATCTATTTTTGCCTATCCTCACATGGAACCCAGTGCAGCTCTCTGCTGGGATGGCAGATGTATGCTCATAATTGCATGTAATCAGCTAAATTGCATCTGCGAGTAAGTTACTTCCTTTGAGTAATTTGAATGGAGTGTGTGTGTGTGTGTGTGTCCATGTGCGTGTGTTTGGGGGTGAA